TGTACATGCACATTTTATGTTTAATATTTTATTTTCATTAACAAAAATAACTAACAAAATAATGAAAATATTATATAAGTGTATGGTTTTTATACCTATCAATACTGATATGGAAGTGAATTAAGATACTTTTGATCATAATCGCTATCATGGTTTATAGAAACTGAGGTTTTTTCAGTGATAAATATTTCATATAGTATTTCAGCCGGGCGTATAATTCGCGATAAATATCTTGCATATGAAAAATAATATATAATGTGAACTGTGAGAGCAGCAACCAACAGTCCTTAATCCGTTAGGACAACTGGTTCTACTAGTCCACGGTTACGCGTGGTGTGTACTCTATATAGACATTATAGGTTTTCCTATTAACATGCCGTGATCGAATATTCATTATAATTATATTAGAATTTTCTTTCGCAAAATATATCTTTGGTAGACTGTCATTATTTAACATTTCAGCCAGATAGGATACCGCTTGGGATAACTGGCAGGAGCCTGTAAATAGAATTCTGAGTTCTTGTTCATTTAAGTGTGGGAATCCTAATAGACAATCCGGCTGAAAAAGTTCTAGTGTTGTCGCTCGCCTACTCTTTTTTCAATTTGATAAAGTATTTGGTATGTTGCGTATATTCATGTAATTGATAGCTTCATCCGCCAAATCTCCATCTGATGACAGCCGCTTTTCATACTTATTATGTAGAAAACCAACAATTTTACACAATATTTTCACTTTAGGCAGTGCTTTATTCTCTAGTGTATGATGAAGCAATCGTTATCTTTGTACAATATTGCCGTGCACTGCTTCGACAACCCATCGGAGCTTAGTTATTTTTCTGGATTCATATACATAACCTGCTGATCCACGAAGTCTACGATCAACTAAAAAACATATCATCTTGATGCAAAAAAGTGCTGATTCCGTGCGAATCTTTCAATATAATATTCATAATATTTGCATCATTTTGTGTTGCCAGAAAGGGCCCGAAGAAGTCAACGACAAAACTATTCGTTGTGCAAATCGTGAATGGTTTACACAATGGAACCCGTTTCTGGCCTGAAAACAACTTTCTTTAGTACTCATTATCTGTGCTTTTTTCATGACGTATGTAGGTACCGTCACATATTAAAACTAACCGACCTTCAGGCAAATTAAGAATTTTTTTTGCATTGTACGAAGTCTCCAAAATTAATTGGTCTTTTGTAAAAGACTCTAATCCAAAATTTTGAACTAATATGTCCCTTTCAAATCCAATTTGAGAATAGTAATGAAAAACTTGACTTTTAGAAATGTTAAAAATAGCGGCGATAACATTGTTAGAGTTTCCGTTTCTTAATTTAAATAAAAAATAACTTATGCTTATAACGTTTCTTGTTGTTTTTCATTGATTTAAACATATTACTTAATTCCATGATAACACATATTATATATAACTTCCGGATAAAATCCTGTTAATATTTTTATTTTCTCCGGTGACAGCAAAATTTTCCATCAGTTGAAATAGCGATTGGTTTGAACTTTAAGCTGTTTAAAAAAAGGACACTTCTTTCTGAGGCACATAGCTTGTATTTGAATAAATACGCGACTGTTGTATATCTTCTTCATAAAAAAATTTACCGAACAAATGCTTATTACAGGTACGATTAGCTGTAGGAATATAAATTCTGGCCTTTGCACATACATGAATTCTAGTCTCTCAAGGAATTGTAACAAGGTTGGATCTATTATTACAAATTGAACAATGTCGATGGGTCGATGCTATTCGATTAAGACAAAGTTCAACAAATATATCACTTTTTTCAAAAATATTACAATCGTATTCACTACAAAATTCACTTACAGAACTACTATCTCTACCACTAAGCACTAAATTATTTACATTGCATATGCTTGTTCTGCTACTAGAGTTTCTATAAGGAATTAGTCTACACGTAGCACACAAAATATCACCAATTAAAATAGTTTTGTCTGTAGAACTACTGTGCAATTGTTTATCATCCTTACTTAAAACGACTTTTTTTGCCCACCAATTTTCACCAAACATTAATTACAATTTTTGCAATTTTGCGATATTATAATTCCAATTATATTAACAAATTATAATGAACCGCTAAAATATACACTCAACAAATTAAATTGTTATCAAAATAAAAAAAAATAGCAAGTTCAACTGACACAAAATTAGAGTTCGCAAAAAACACACAAAACACAAAAAAATGAATAGACTGCTATACAATTTGCAAGTAATAATATAATATGTTAGCAAATATTAAATCACTAAAATGTTCACTACACAAAGTAAATTGTCATTAAAATATAAGAAAATAGCGATTTCAATCTGGCACAAAATTATTGTTCACAAAATATCACACAAAACATAAGAAAGCAAAATATAGACAGCACAAAAATATTGTTTCCGAAATCAACTAACGACACAGTTTTCGAAAACCAGATAAATTATTTTCTAAAATTACTTAAATTCCAAGTGACTGTATTTGAGGCATATACAATATCGAATGGTACATATTTGTTAAATAATAAAAGCATAGACTTTTAGATTACTAAATATTAAATTTCTTATTGTATTGCAGAATTGATAAAAATAGAATAGGAATATAAGAATTTTTATCTCAATGTTCAATTATTGTTCGAAAAGAGATTGTGTACCAACTTAATTGTATTGATACTTAAGCCGGCGACAGACGTAACTGTATACTTGCGCAATCTGCGACTTGCACATGTATTATGTAGCGTCTGTGGAGTTTTTTGCGCAACTTGACAGACTGGTGCAAGCGAGTAGGCATGAGCACTTTTCGATTATAATTGCGCAATCATTCAAGTCGGCAAGTTCATTAGTTGGCCGCGTGGCAGCATATGTACCGTTTTTGGTTTATTTTGCAACGAATACATAATTCAAACAAATCTTCTTCTGATGCTGTTAATATTTAGGGTGACTTACTTTTTAATTCAAATCGAAAATTATAATCAAGATTATATACACATATTCATATACATATATTCATATTCAGATACATGAACGTTGTGATAATCAGGATAATTTTCAAGTATGTTTTTATCATATTAGGTTGGGGAAAACGAAATCCATTATTTTTACGTGAACTTCAAGACTTTATTTAACATGTTTTGCATTGTCCGATTTAGGTCAAATATGCACCATTTTGTTCTATAATTTGTTGCCATTTTAATGGTAGCTTCATTATGCCTCTCTCATAAAAGTCTTGATCCTTATTAGCGAAAAACTCCAGCAATTGATTTTCACACTCTTCCCTTGATGCCAATTTCTTATCACTAAAAAAGTTTTGCAATGCAAGAAAAAGGTGGTAATCGCTTGGTGGGAGGTCCGGACTGTATGGTGGATGCATCAAAACTTCCCAACCAAGCTCCTGGAGTTTCTGACGAGTCACTATAGAAGTGTGTGGCCTGGCGTTGTCCTGATGGAACACGACACCTCTTCTGTGATGCCCCGCGAGGGGCATCCTTAACGTCAAAAATACCCGAACGGAATCGACGAAACCAAAATTGCGCGTAATTAGCTGTTACAGTATCGGGACCATAAATACTATTCACATTTTCAGACGCCTGACTTGCATTTTCACCCTCAAAGAATAATTGTAAAATGAACCGAATTTTCTCTTTGTTGACTTCCATCTTTAACGCCGTGTAACTCAGCACTGAATGGACACAACAAAAAACTGCAAACAAATTCTTTTAGTGCGAACTGTTACCTTGACAACGAGCTTAAATTTGAAATTGTTTGATAGATAGTTTACGAGATATCAATCACTACAGCCATCTACCGAAAAAATAATGGATTTCTTTTTCCCCAACCTTATATTTATAATTTTATATAGGTTATGTTATTATTCAACATTATATTTTTTTATTTTAAAAATATTTTTATTATAACTTGCATAGTTTAGTTTATATACACATGCTTTATTGTCTTATTAAAATTAAAGGAAAATATGTCTTATGTAAACCAACATGGAGAAGGAGGAATCAGAGAGATCATGGAAGTCTTAATAGAAATATATTGGAATGAACCCTGCTTGTGGCAAGTCAAATCTGCAGCTTATCATGATAAAATTTTGAAAAATTCTGCGTATAATAAATTAGTGGAACAATACAAATATATAGAACCAAGTGCTAATCGTAACTTAATAGTAAAGAAAATTAATAGCTTGCGTACAAATTATAGAAAAGAAAAAAAAATTGATGAATCTAAAAGATCTGGCGCAGGCACATCAGAAGTGTACGAACCGAAATTATGGTATTTCAAACTTCTCACTTTTCTTGGTGATGATCATTCGGTTTCTGATATATCAGGGATTAATTTCGATCAAGTAAGTTCACAGTAACTTTATTTATTAAAAGTATTCATTATACAAATCAATGGATAACATAAATAATGATAATTTTCATAATGTCAATGAATAAAGTTGTCTTGCCAAGGCACGCTTCCCTCATTGTTCAAATAATGCACATATTTTTCCCTTACGATTTTTGCGGCATTTGGGCTATTTCCTAAATATCGTTGATTTAAATGTTTCATGTTTGAATCTTTAGAAGTCAACCCCTGTGTAATACATCCCTGTTTCATATTTTCTCTGTCAAAACATTCTGCATAAGTATATGAGTTAGTAGAATTGGTCATCAAATAATTGTGTAAAGCACAACTTGCCAGTACTATACGATCAATGTTATTTGGCTGGACATTTATTGGTGTTTTAAATATTCTAAATCTAGAAACCAATATACCAAAAGCGTTTTCCACAATGCGTCTTGCTCTACAAACACGATAGTTATAAATCTTTTTATCTTTTGAAGTAAGATCTGACTGACGGAATAGTTTCATAATGTTCGTTCTCAAAGCAAAAGCATCATCAGCAATAAATATGTATGGCAGTATTTCAGAACTATTTTTGATTGGTTCGTCTGATGAAATATTCAATTCGTTTTTTTGTAGCTTGTCATAGAATTATGTTGTTTGAAGTACACCTCCATCTGATTTCCTGCCATTAACTCCCAAGTCACACATGATAAATTGGTAGTTTGCATTTATTATTGCAAGTAGCACCACACTATGACGACATTTATAATTACAGTAATAAGACCCGATTTCACTAGGAGGAATAATGTCTATGTGTTTACCATCAATCGCGCCTAGGCAATGTGGAAAGTTCCAACGTTGTTCAAATTCCTTTGCTGTCTTTTTCCAATCTTCTTCTGTTTGTGGAAACTGAAGAAATAGAAAAAAAACATAATTATATATATATACGAGGTCTGTTCAAAAAGTACCCGGAATTTTCGTTTTTTCAAAAAAATATTTATTTATTCGTCTACATTAATGTGGTCCCCTTCAAAGTAGTCCCCCCCAGATATAATACACTTATGCCAGCGTTTTTTCCAATTTTCGAAGCACCCTTGATATTCACTTTTTGATATGTCCTTGAGCACTCTCAGCGATTCGGCCTTTATTTCTTCAATCGAGGAAAACCGCCGTCCTTTCATGGGTCTCTTCAACTTTGGGAATAGGAAAAAGTCACACGGAGCCATATCTGGTGAATATGGAGGTTGGGGCATGACTACGGTATTGTTTTTGGCCAAAAAATTACGAACAAGCAACGACGAGTGAGCAGGTGCGTTATCGTGGTGCAACAGCCATGAATTGTTTTTCCATAAATCGGAGCGTTTTTTTCGGATTGCTTCACGCAAACGTCGCATCACTTCAAGGTAATACTCCTTATTAACCGTACGACCTTGTGGTAAGAACTCTTGATGCACTATGCCGTTATAATCAAAGAAAACAGTAAGCAAAACCTTGACATTCGATCGAACTTGACGTGCTTTTTTCGGTCTTGGCTCACCTGGGCTCTTCCATTGGGACGATTGGGCTTTGGTTTCGACATCATAACCGTACCCCCATGTTTCATCACCAGTTATGACCCTTTCAAGCAAACTTGGATCGTTGTTGACGTCATTTAACAGCTCTTGAGCGATGTTCATGCGATTGCTTTTTTGGTCAAAATTTAGCAGTTTTGGAATGAATTTTGCTGCCACTCGTTTCATGCCCAAAACATTTGAAAAAATGTTATGACATGAGCCAATTGATATGCCAACTTCATCAGCAACTTCTCTAATTGTGATTCGGCGATCATTCATAACCATTTTTTCCACTTCTTTCACATTTTCATCGTTTGTTGACGTGCTGGGTCGACCGGAGCGTTCGTCATCTTCAACGTCTTCGCGGCCATCTTGGAAACGCTTATACCACTCGTAAACACTTGTTTTTTTCATAGCAGACTCACCATAGGCTTTTTGTAACATTTCACACACTTTGTTACACTTTATTTCATTTTTTACGCAAAATTTAATACAAATTCTTTGACTTTTCAATTCTTCCATTGTAAAAATCGCCGAGCTCAGAAAAACACGTCGAACCTTAGCGACTACCACAGACAAAGTAAACAGTGAATATAGCTGAAAATTTCATCATACTTTAGGGGCATGTATACCAACACAATAAAAAAAAAATTTTGACAATCAGACACTCCAGACCCGCGAAATTTAAAAATTCCGGGTACTTTTTGAACACACGTAGTATATATATATTTATATATATATATTTAGGAAATAGAAAGTGATTGCTTTATTGATGATGGGGATGAAGAATTATCTGTGAGAGCTTCTTCCAATCCAAGTCGTTCTTCTGAACCTAGCGGCAGCTCAAGACCTCCCAAACGGAAGCGGCGAAGCACAACAGAAGATCTGCAAAATGAGGTCTTGATGTCAATAAATAAACGCCTAAACAATTCTACTGAGGACTATGAAGAATATGGAAAATATATAGCAGCGACACTTCGACGTATGCCAAAAACGCAAACGCCGATGATAAAAAATATCATTGATCAAGCTATTTTTAAAGCCGAAATGGGTGAATTGAATCGTGGAGTAGTTCGAAGATTCATGAACGATACTAATCCAGATGAAGATTACATTTCATATCTATCAGCAGCAGAATATTTAGAACATATGATGAATGTTAATAAAGAATATAAAGAAAATGAAAAAAGTCTTTTAGTTGATTTAATTTTTATGATTAGTGTAATATTAAATCTTTAAATGTTTCATTTCATTTCTTTTTATTTTAGAAGTAGGCTTTGTGTCCATATGTATATCATAATATTGAATCCAACTTTAATTGCTAATTATTAACAAACCTGACACATTAAAATAATCATACTATTTATTGATTACGGCTTGTTTAAGAATAAATAAATAAATACATTAATATACTTTCATACTGACTTTTATACTTACTTAGAAATAATTTTTCTCCAGTACTTTAGATATAGCTTCACACGTCTCAGGAATAATTACACCCAATGCCTGAGGCGATATTATTGTTGTGAACCTTAAATCCTCATAACTCCTTCCAGTTGCGAGAAATCTTAATGTTGCCGTCAACCTTTCGTGTGGCGAAATAGCTTTACGCATAATAGTATCTTGTCTTCTAATTAGAGGTGAAACCATCTTTAGCAATTTTAAATAAGTTTCTTTGTCCATGCGAAGATAATTGTGCCAATCCCTTGGTGCTACTTTGAATTCATTTATGAGATTTATATGCGAGAACAGTTCTATTTTTCTTAGCCATTCCTTGCACCAAATAGATCTCCTTTTAGTTATTTTCCATTTTTTTCGTGGCAAATACAAATGACATAGCCATAAAATCGTCATCCATTTCTGCACTAATTTTAGATAAAAAAAAATATCACCTACAGTAATAGACTAATCACAAATAATTCAGTAAAAAATAATACCAATTATCACAAAGATATATTTTTAGGTTAAGTTTTGACATTTATTATTTGACATTTGTGATATGCTTGCGCAAGTACATAAACATAAACATGCATACAGTTACGTCTGGGGCCGGCTTTAGGAATGCTTGACTCATTTTGAACGTATATAAACATACAAATGGATTTCTATAATATATATTTCTGCACGTTGCAATATGCCCGACGTGAGCTGGTACTTCCCTCAATTTTTTTAATTTTTCTATGTGTTCTATCACATAGAATTTAACAAAATTTTGCTCAACAAAGGAAAAATATATGAACTTTCGAATGATGCTAATTAAAAATTAGTCCAAACAATTGCACTGGCCGAGAATGCAGAACAAAAAATTATTTTAACTTTTTTATGTACTTGTAAATAATTATTAAACTTCATTTGTTATAAATAATATAGTACAGTGCACTGTGAACACAACGATGAATTTTTTTTTTCGATATCTTGCACCGTTTCGGCTAAAAGTGAGTTTGAAAAGAGGGGCCACTTTCACATGTTTTTAATGATATCTCGGCCAAATGATAAGCTACGGATTTGAAATTTGGTATTTCGAATTTTCTCGAAAAAAGCTATAAAATGACATTAAAATTATTTAAATACCAGGGTGGGGCCAATTCTGTATGGAAACACGATCAGACCCTTTACTTATTACTTTTTTAAATATATTTTCTGACACCTAATTTTACTGAATTACCATATTAAAGTATTAATCAAACGCTGTGCTGAACTTTTGGTTTTGAGCATATTGTTCAAAACGCCGTAAAGTTTTAATATTGCATCTGATTATCTTACATGTTTCTGTTAGGATTTTGCTTTAGCGAAGGAGGTATTTATAAAGAAAACTATCAACTTTCACAAAGATATATTTCAGACAAACAACAATTATATTTAATATATGATTAATGCGTTCAAATGTATGCCACTGAGGTTAGGTAGAGAATGCCGATTTTCACATCATCCTAGAGGCTCCCGTTCGAGCCGGAAATATTGCCCATAGAGCTCATATATAGAGCGGAATCCTGAAGGGTTGTAGTTCACGTATTCCATAGAGTGACGGTAGAGTCCGTCATAGAGTCCGGTTCCATAGAGTCCGGTACAGCAAAGTGTTGAATATAAGGGTGCTGACACACAACACCATAGAGGGATGATGAGTCCATAGAGCATAGATAAGTGAATAATTAAATATAAGGGTGCTGGCGAACAACATTCCTCCCTCCTTTAGGAGATTATAGTTCTTACCAAATTCAGACATTTATAACAAAACATGAACTATAATCTATATGAAATATTTACATGACATGGCAAACATTAAGATTTATATAAAAATTGGAAAAACATTATCATTTAAATTTAGAAATTTAATGTTACTTTTTGTTAAAAGTATTACAGTTGAAATTTAGAAATTAGAAAAACATAACAATAAAATAAAATTACAAATTGGAAAAGTATTACAATTAAATAGTAGAAACTGTAAACATATTTAACATTAAAATTTGGTTTAAATTAGTTATTAAAATACATAAAGTTAAAGTTATAATTGAATAATAACAAACATAATAGTATTGGTTGAAAATTAGAAATTAGGAAAACATTATAATAAAATAAAATTACAAATTGGAAAAGTATTACAATTAAATAGTAGAAACTGAAAACACATTTAACATTAGAATTTAGTTTAAATTAGTTATTAAAATACATAAAGTTGAAGTTATAATTTAGTAATAACAAACATAATAGTATTGGAAAAAAATTTAAATAGTATCAATGAATTTTTTAATTCTATTGACATGAACTTTCACCTGCCTCCGCCCGCACAACAAAGTGTAATTCACGTCTGAATTTTTTGTTAAAATAGTATAAGGTCCTGTCCAAGGCATTTGTAACTTTTTAGACTTTCCTTTTTGGATTGTCTCATTTTTTAACAGAACCTGATCACCAATATTAAATTCAGTCATAGTTGTATTTTTGTCATAATATAATTTGGATTTATTTTTACTTTCAATTAAAATTTCTCGTGCAACTTTATTTGCATTTTGAATTCTATTTTTAATTTCACTAGCATAATCATCAGGTAATTCAGGGTTATATCCAAATACTAGCCGGAAAGGGCTATAACCAGTAGAAGAATGTGGTGTAGTATTCTATGTGAATGTAGAGTATGGTAACCATAAATCCCAATCAGACTGATCTGGTTTTATAAAATTTCGAATGTACTCTACCAGAGTCCTGTGAGATCTCTCGAGAGCTCCGTTAGACTGAGGGTGATATGCAGTCGTTTGAATTTTTTTTATTTTTAAAATTTTGCAAACCTGTTTGAATAACGCACTTAAAAAATTAGTACCCTGGTCTGTAAGTATTTTTGAAGGCACTCCGTAGTTACAAACAATGTTTTCTACAAAAGCTCGTGCTACGCTTTCAGAGTCCTGGAATTTGAGAGGGATTGCTCGACTAAATTTAGTTAGTAGGTCTTGGAATGTTAAAATATATTTATTTTGATTAGAAGTCTCGGTAAAAGGTCCGACTATATCTAGCGCGCATTTTTCGAATGGCTTCGTGGGAGTGTCCGTAATTACCATTGGGAATTTATTTGATTTGTAATTTTTATTTCTTTGGCAAATCTCGCAATTTTTTATATAGACCCTTAAATCTCGTTTGAGATTTGACCAATTATATTTCAAAACAATTCTTTTAAAAGTTCGTTTGAATCCTTGATGACCTCTTATGGGTGTGACATGAAATTCTTGAAATATAGTTTCCTTATCACTGGGAGTAAGAATGTTAGTTAAAGGATAATTAAGTATATGTATAAGTATATTGGTATCTTTAAAAATAAAACGAATCATTGACCTTATTTCCGACCATTCTACGATATCTGATGTATTTACTAAAACAGGTATAGCAATTGTGTTAATATTGCGTTGTAAACATAAATCTTTTAATTTAGATAGGGAATTGAATAAAATTTCAGAAGACGTGCTGTCGGATTCTGTGACCCTAGTAATTAAATAAAAAATGAATGAACCATTGTGTTCGATAAAAGCAACTTCGCCTAAATCTTTATTCTGAGCTTGAAGTTCATTAATTTTATTAAATTTTTCCTTAAATTTGGAAAAAAGAAGGTCAGAAGTTATAAAGTTTTTTGGTATTCCAATGGAAAATGACTGGTGTGAGAAAATATCAGTATTTACATCAACTACATTTCAATTTATAATAACATTATTTTCTAATGCTCTTTTAAAATCGTCATGAGATTTAGAACAGGAAAGTACAAAAATTCTGCTTAGAGCATCAGCGTTAGTATTAATCTTACCCTTTTTATAAACAATATTATAGTCGTACTCTTCGAGCTTTATTTTCCAACGCATAAGCCTAGAGCCGGGATCTTTCAGATTCATTAACCACATAAGTGGTTTGTGATCCGTGAAAATGTTAAATTTAAAACCATATATTATATATAGGGTCGAAAATGTTGAACAGCCCACACTACGGCTAAGAGTTCCTTCTCTATAGTGGAGTAGTTTTCCTCCGCTTTATTTAAAGTCCTACTGGCATAAGCAACAGGAAGGTCGCTGCCAATTGCGCCTTGTGATAATATTGCTCCTATTGCCTTGCCAGACGCGTCAGTGGTTATGTTAAATGTCTCATTAAAATTTGGATATTGTAATATCGGAGCACTAACTAAAAGCGATTTAAGAGTTTCAAAAGATTCTTGTTCGTGAGAAGTCCATTTAAAATTTACATATTTCTTTAACAAATTACTTAAGGGTTTAGATACCATAGAAAAATTATTTATAAATTTGCGATAATACCCGGCCAAACCGAGAAAAGATTTGACGTCCTTAGGGCATTTGGGAACTGGGAAATCACGAACGGCACTTATTTTTGAAGGATCTGGTTTAATGCCTTCAGATGAAATTATATGACCTAGATAAAATACTTCCTTTCGAAAAAAATTACATTTATTTGGTTGCAATCTTAGATTATTAATTCTGAGTCTATCTAAAACTTCACATAAACGATTATAATGATCTAACAAGGTGTTTGAGTAAATGACCACATCGTCCAAATAAACAAAACACTTTAAACCCTGTAGCCCTGTCAACACAGAGTTCATCAGCCTTTGAAATGTGGCTGGTGCGTTTGACAAACCATATGGCATTCGTTTAAAATGATAGTGCGAAGTTTGAGTGGAAAATGCAGTCTTAATTTTATCTTGATCATCCATTGGGATTTGATGAAAACCCAATGCAAGATCAAGCGTTGAAAAATACTTGGAATTGCCAAGTTGGTCAAGAATATCTGTTATATTAGGCAGTGGGAAAGAGTCACCTATAGTAATGTTATTTAATTTTCTGAAGTCTACAACTAACCTCCACTTTAATATCCCGTTTTCAGATTTCTTAGGTACAATCAATAAGGGAGCGTTCCAAGGACTACTACTAGGTTCAATAATATCGCTATCAAGCATTTCTTTTACTTGTTTGTTTATTTCATTTTTGTGTTTTTCAGGCAATCTATAAGGTTTAATATTTACAGGAGGAACATTTGGGATAGTGCAGATTTTGTGGGAAACTGTATTAGTATGAGGAAGTTGATCTCCATCGATATAAAAAATGTCATTATATTCCCTACATAATTGCTTTAAGATTGATTTCTCCTCTGTATTTAAATTTTCATGATTAACCTTATCTAAAATAATTTTTATTCTATCT